ATTTGTCCGCTATGGTCGCCATTTTGTCCAGCGTTTCTTTATCATTTGCGGCGAGGATCATCTGTAGTTGTGGGGGTAAACGCTGCAACCACAGAGTCTTGAGGACGTCACCGCTGATCCCCTTACCCGCTAGGGCTTCCATTTCTCTTAGTAGTTGTGACGGCTGCTTGTCCTCTAACTCTATTTCGTACATGAGCTTCCGTAGTCGTTTTTCGGGGGTGTCTGCATAGGCGGCGATCAATCTGGATTTTATGCTTTCGTACTTTGTCTCTTCTGTTGGGGGGTTGGCGACCAAATCGGCAACCGGCTGGAGCGTCGCGCAGTCTAAGGCGGTTACCACGGTCCAGTACTTGGTCTGGTCGGACCTGATTCTCGCGCAATTAAATTGGGCTTCGACTTGTGCAAACCAAAGCACCGGGTCTCGCTGCCAGAATGTCGGTAGCTTCAGATTTGAACCACTTCTTACCTCATCAAGGGCTTGTTTGTTGGAGATGGTAGCCAGTTGTGTCTGGAACTGGCAAATTATTTCTTGTTGTTCCTGCAGTTTCTTTTGCATTTCTTCCATGGTGCTAGCTCTTCCTATTTTCTTTCCGGGGTCACCAATATGGAAATGACTAACACCAGGTAGGGTTTCTCTATAGTTTATTTACAAACGGATATCTTACACGTGGAACCGGAGACGGTACCCATCTTCTTCGTTTCGATGTCGGCGGCAGAAGAAAGTACTTGCCGTACTCGCGCCTCCTTGTGTCCCCAGTTGGTCTCTGCGTCGGCGCCAGGCTAACCAATCACGAGTGGTGTTCGGTGAGCATATTGAGTTGCCTACTCGTAGGCGAGAGGAAGTAGTACGTGTGCGTTGTGTTGCCTACATTAACATCACAGCAACGCCACAGATCCTTCTTCAAAATAATCTTGCATTATATACAACAACCCAATAAATTTTCTACTTTCTTTGTGAGTGTCATGAATTGGTAGCACAATAGATAAAAAATTCCACTAAAAACGATTTTTGTCATAAACCAAACGATTATTTTGGGGCTTATTACCAACATCCATATGCACAAACCAAAATTTCCTAAGCGGCTAACTAAATGTGCCTTCCCTTTTTCAACCAAAACATGAAAATTAAAATACAAAGTACTAACCATTTCCAGCCCAAAGTGGAACATTATTAACACAATCTGCCAGCCAAACATTTCGTTAAACAAGTCAACTGTTTCTCCCAAAATTCGATAATCTTGAGCTAAAGCGGGCCATTTTTCAACACTTTCGGTTTCTTGAAAGACTGTCAAGACTGTACAGTTGAGGTCCTGATATCTTCTTTTAAAACTTTGTACTAAAGCATTGATAACAGCAATTAACAAAAACTCGTAGTAGGTTTCAAAGATGCAGTTGGCAATACTGACTTGTTGAACTGACAGCTGCGTAAGATTACCCCTTATGTATTGCCCAACACATATACCAGCAAAAAACACCATTTATTTTAGAAAAAAAATGAAATAGAAATTTTTCGAAAAATGTTTTTCTTCTTTGCCAACATTGTTTAAACTTTTGTCGATGTAACGCAAGTTTGTGAATATAACTGTCCACTTTTCCACATCCAGAAAACAGGATCTTAAGATCGCCAGGCATGTTATCAATGTTAGAGTTATATGTGAACAAAACCACGTAAAACTTTCATTTATTGATAAATTTCTACGATATCCAAGATTTTTTAAACATGCTGTCAAGTAAGTCAATCGAAGGATAGCATCTGACAACAAGATTATCCCATAAGCTCTTTGAAGCTTTGGTTTGTACGAAGAGTTGCTGTCAAAGTCGTACCATGGGGTTATTAAGGGAAGATTTAAATATACGAACAAATACTTAATAAAATTTATATCTTTAATAGACAGTTTAAAGCTCATGGTTGTTGGAACGTCGTGCTTTCAACTAAATTTCACAATGTCGGATTGTCAAAGAAAATAACACTCAAACAAATTAGTTCGTATCGCATTATTGTATTATTGATCTTAGTGCACTTAACGACCATCTCAGTTGTGTTTGTAACAACAGAAAACTTAAAATTCCAACATTACGTTTTCTAAAAACAACAGAGAAAAAACGGATTAACAGACTATTTCTTAATTATTGACATCTAAGACACCGAATTATCAAAAGCTTGGTTACACCGCTGACTGTGCTATTAAAACGCGTGTATTGTTGGTTGCATATATTCTGTATTATAATAATTGTATGCATTGCTAGATTATTTAGTAAAGTAAAATATCGTTGCAAACATTAATTTACTTCGCTGTAATCTATTTGAAACATTATGACCACGTACATTCCTACGTTTGCCAACACACTAAAAATGATCGCCCTATTGATACTAAAAAACCCAGCCCCATTAAATTTCGGGGCAAAATTTTTCGAATAACTAATTAATCTGTTGAGAGCACCCATTTCCATAGATCCTTCCTCAAAATAATCTTGCATTTTATACAACAACCCAATAAATATTCTGCTTTCTTTATGAATATCATGAATTGGTAGCACAATCGATAAAAAATTACACTAAAAACGATTTTTATCATAAACCACACGATTATTTTTGTCGCTTATTACCAACATCCAAATCCATAAACCGAAATTTCCTAAACGACCAATTAAATCTGCCTTCCCTTTTCCAACCAAGACACGAAAATTGAAGTACAAAGTACTAACCATTTCCAGCCCAAAATGGAACATCATTAGTACAATCTGCCAGCCAAACATTTCGTTAAACACGTCAACTGTTTCTCCCAAAATTCGATAATCTTGAGCTAATGCGCGCCATTTTTGAACAGTTTTGGTTTCTTGAAAGACTACCAAGACTCTGCGGTTGAGGTTCTGGTATCTACTTTTAAAACTCTGGGCTAAAGCGTTAATAACAGTAATTAGGAAAAACTCATAGTAACATTCAAACACGCAGGTGACAATAATGACTTTTAAAATTGACAGATGCATGAGGCTAGCCCAGACGTATTGCCCAACACATATAGCCACAAAAAACACCATCTGCTTTAAAAAAAAAATTAGGTAGAAGTTTCTCAACACGTATGTCTCGTCTTTGCCAACATTCTTTAAGCTTTTGTCGATGCAACGCAAGTTTGTGAATATCATTTTCCACTTTCCCACATCCAGAAAACAGGATCTGAAGATGGCTAGGCACGTTATCAATGTCAGAATTACGTTTGCACAAGACCAAGTAAAGTTTTCACTTATTGATAAATTTGTAATGTATCCGACATTTTTTAGACCTATTTTCATGTAAATCAATCGAAGAAGAGCACCTGACATTAAGATCATCCCGTACGCTTTTTGGAGCTTTGGTTTGTACGAAGATTGTCTGTCAAAGTCGTACCATGGAGTTACTAATGGAAGATTTAAAAATAAGAACAAATACTTAATGAAATTTATATCTTTAATAGACCGTCTAAAGTTCATGTTTGTCAAGAACCACGTCGTGCTTTCAACTAAATTTCACAATGTCGGACATTGTCAAACACAATAACAATCAAACAAATTGGTTCGAACCAAACAACTACGTTATTAAACTTATTACACACATAAATAAACACAATTGTACAACAATACGCTAATTAACAATTTTCACACAAAAGTTCTCATACTTTGGACATTTTTGAATATTCGATTTCGTTCAACTGTATCGTTATAATAAAATACGTAGCTACATTTCCAACAACAGTGAAAATAAGTGTTCTATCAATACTAAAAAAACCTGCAGCTCTAAAATCTGGAACGTATTGCTGGCTAATAGTTGCCCATTTCGACAAACTTGTCGACTCACAACTCCCTTCTGAAACCTCTTCCTGCAACTTACCAAACAAATCCACAAATCGTCTGCCTTCTTGCATCGTCGAATGTATCGGAATTACAATTATCAACAAATTGTGCTGAAAACAAAAATCGTCGTTGTCATCGTGGCTAAAGTCAACTTACCATCATAAGTATGAAGACGCATGCACTACCCAGTAGAAGATAGCCAAGGTAGCTCTGGTGATCAGGTATTACGAATGAGATAAATATGGAATTTAACCCATTAACGACTTCAATTCCGAAATGAAACATTATCAAAATAATTTGATAACCGAACAAACTATTGAAAATGTGGACGCTTTCGCTGAGAATTCTATAACTTTGGACTAGGTTTTTCATTTCACGGGAAATGTGTGCTTTCTTGATTTCCACGAGCCTTGCATTTAAATCTTTGTATCTACTGTTAAAAACCTGTACCAGACAGTTCAGTAAAATGCTTACTAAATATTCAACAAAATGTTCGACAGAACCGGTTAGAAACAAAATTTTGATTGGTGATAATTGCGTCGTGCTTGACAAGATGTTCACTTGATATACTATCAAAAGAAGGAAAATGACTTGCTTTGTTGAGAAAGTTAGATAGAAATTTTTCCAGACAGATTTTTCCAGGTCATCAACGTTTTGTAATTTCTGGTCAACCGTCTGCAGGTTTGTAAATAAAGTTTTCCAGTTTTCTAAATCCCAAGATTTGATAACTGTAACTACGTCTAGACATATTAGAGTGCACAAAACACCAAGAAAGATGAATTTTTGAGTCATTAACTGCTTTGACATACTGTTTACCACAATATCATCGTTTGCAGAATACACAACACAGTATATTTTCAATACTATCAAAGCTACTCCACATATTTTTGATATTTGAAGTCCGCGGGTACGATTTTCGTGAAAGTCGTACCACGGGGTGATGAAAAAAATGCGCAAGTAGTTGAACAGAGGGTGTATGAAGTTGATATCTTTTATTGACAGCGTGAACATGTTGAATACTGAAGGTTTCACAAAGTTGTATTGTTAGAGCTAGGTAATCAATTATACAAATTAAGGAAATTAGATAATGAATATAAGAGGGAGGTCACAAAAAATGCAAACACTTTATCTAATGAAGTACAATGTGGAACAAAATTAAAATCAAAAATTTCTCATTCTTTGTGCGTTCTTAAATATTCACTTTCGTTTAACTGAATTGTAATAATGAAATACGTTGCCACGTTTCCAGCGAAAGCAAAAATAAGTGACTTATCAATGTCGAAAAAACCTGCGGCACTAAAGTCTGGAACGTACCGCTGACTAATGTTTGCCCATTTCAACAAACTCTTTCCTTCACAGCTCCCTTCTGGGGCCTCTTCTTGCAATTTATAGCACAAATCGACAAATCGTTTGCCTTCTTGTGTAGCAGAATATATTGGATTTAGAATTGTGAACAAGTTATACTGAAAAAAATATCATCCGATTCGTACTTAACAGGGACTCTACTTACCGTCATTAGTATGAAAACACACACACTAGCCACCAAAAATCGCCCATAGAAACGCTCCTCCACGGGAGTGTCGAACGATACAATAATAAAATTTAACCCATGGACGATCTCCACACCAAAATGAAACATTATCAAAATAATTTGATAACCGAACAAACTGTTGACAATGTGGACGCATTCGCCCAAAATTCGATAACTTCGGGCTAGATTTTTCATCTCAAGGGGGACTTTCACGTTGTTTCTTAGTTCCAAGAGTTTGGAGTTCAGATCTTTGTATCTACTTTTGAGCACTTGGAGTACACAGCTTATTAAGATGGTTATCAAAAACTGGCCGAAAATTTCCACGAATCCGGTCATGAACAATATTTTGAACGCTGACAAGTGTGTGATATAGGACCAAGTATACACTTGAAACACTACTAAAGCAAGAAAAATTAGTTGTTTCGCCGCGAAACCGAAATAGAAGTTGTTCCAAAGACATCGTTCCCGATCACCTGCATTTCCTAGTTTTTGGTCTACGATTTTAAGGTTCGTGAACAAAGTTTTCCAGTTTTGTAGGTCGAAAAAGCTGGATTTGAGAGCTGTGAGTGCGTTTAAGGATATCAGAGCGACAAAAGCGCCATAATAGACGACTGTTTGGGTAATCGAAAATTTGGATATAATTTCTAGCATAATGTCGTCGGCTGCAGAAAGAACGGTGAAGTAAAATTTTGACACTATTAAGACAATTCCATATATTTTTGATATTTGAAGTCCACAGTCGCGGTTTTTGTCAAAATCGTACCATGGGGTTATTAGAAAAATGCGCAAGTAGATGCATAGAGGGTGTATGAAATTAATGTCTTTTAATGAAAGGGCGAACATGTGTGTATTGTTTGAATTATTGTGTGAGTATGAAGAAATAAATTACGTAAATGAGACAGAAAATACAAGATAAATAACAAAATAGTGGAGGCGGACTTTAATTTATTAACTTTCTTTGACATATAATAATAGTATTGCACACAAACACAATTAACTTGTTTCGTTGAAATCTATTTGAAACATTATGACAACGTAGGTCCCCACGTTTGCCAACAGGCTAAAAATGATGGCCCTGTCGATACTAAAAAACCCAGCCGCATTAAATTTCGGAGTAAAAATTTTCGAATAACTAATTATTCTAGTAAGAGCATCGATTTCCACAGATCTTTCCTCAAAGCAATCTTGCATTTTATACAGCAACTGTATAAACTTTCGGCTCTCTTTTTGAGTGGCGTGAATTGGTAACACAATCATCAAAAAATTACACTAAAAAAAGTTTTGTTTAAAGCAAACCTGTGTCTTTGTGACTTACCAGCATCCACAACCACAACACGAAATTCGCTAGATGACAGATCAAGGGTGTTTTTAGATTTCCAACTGAAACAAGAAAATTAAAGTACAAAGCGTTAACCATTTCCTCTCATTAACACTCAAAGAAATTAGTTCGTATCGCTTTATTGTATTATTGATCTTAGTACACTTGTGACGGGCTTGGGAGATTTTCAAAATTAACTTTTGTTAATTTATTATATATAAAACTGTAAAACTCTTGTCGTGGACCTTGTGCCCGACATATAGTGAAAATATTATTTATTTGTTCGTAGGCTGGTTCGTGATGATGGTAACACATTCTAGTGACTGGACAAAGGGACTACTTCAAGTATATGCATTTTGCTTAAATGAATAATTATATTTAATTTAGAAATGAGTATGTACAAAAGAGATTTAGTCATATGAGAATAATTTGGTATAACAATAAATTGTAGTGTAGTTTAATAATTATCAGAAAATGAACTTCAGTATTAAAACATTTTTAAATAAATTCAAGAAAACTTTATAACTTTGAAACTAAATCTTTGAAAGCATAATAAAACAAATATTTAAAAAAATCTAAAACAAAAATATAACAAAACTTGACATTGGTACCATAACTCAAAATTTGGTAACATAACTCAAAATTTGGTAACAACTCAAACATTTGTAACAACTCAAAAATTTGGTAAGGAACATTATAGTAGTTGCGTGGTCAGCGTTCATCAAACAATATAACTGTTTAACTAATAATTTCAATGCAAATTAATCTTTAAAAATAGATCTAAATCTCAAAACGTTATCCAATCGAGAATACAAAGGGCGATTTATCATCAAAATTAAATTGAACTTTAAAAATATTAATAAAAACAAAACTTTGAACTTTTTATGAAATCGTGCACATTTTTGGAGATTTTAACACTTACCCCTTTGTGTCACAACACAAACACACACTAAACAGGCAACTGGCTAGAGGACTCTGGTCTTTTTTGGATCTTTCGATCTTTTATAAGTAAAGACCCCTCCAAAGGAGTTGTTTTCGCAAAATTGTTTACTAGTTACCAGTTTATTTGGGGAGTCGTAAAAGTATTTGTGTTTCCACCAAATTAGGCTTAATTAACTGTAATATGAAGATTTTTAGTGGCAAAATGTGCTTTTTGTTAAAATTAACAAATTTAAACCATGAAATTATAAAACTGGACAAAGACATCGTGTCCAGCCAAACGACGCCAATATTTAACTGTGAAATTATAAACCTTGATTAGAATGGTGTGAAATCATAAAATCCAAGTTTCACAAGGACAACCTTGATTTTTACGACAATGACGATTGTTCTGATTCATACCAACATCTCCAAAAATAAGTAAATTTATCGCCCGTTACACACTTAACAATCATCTCAATTATATTACAATACACAACTTATAATTTCAACATTACGTCTTCTAAAAACAAGAGAAAAAAAAACGGATTAACAGACCCTTTATTAATTATTGACGTCTGAGACACCGAATTATGAAAAGCTTGGTTACGCCGTTGACTACGCTATTAAAGAACGTGTATTGTTGGTTGCGTTCTGATACTCTAATTTGATGTAACTATAATACACAATAACCCATTATACCCATTAATATAAGTGAATTAAAATATCGAGTGTAAGACGATTCCTGGCCAGATAGCGGCCTCAGCGCAAATTATCAACAAATATTCATTATCAATGACGGTCAAACGGCTACAGCCAATTGCAAACTACAGATTCACTCACCCCTTACATGTGACGCTCTAGTACAGGTCCGGCCCCGCGACAATTCGGCCCCAATCACGAATATGAAAACAGACACACCTGACTTATCTGTCGCTAAGGATTAAGAATGAGGTCACTCACCGGGGGGTCTCCACCCCCTAGCCCACTCCTTGTCGATCAGCGGTTCCAACTCACGGCGTCGTCTTCAGCGCGCAGTCTTCTGGTGATGTAGTCGAGTTACCTGTAATCGCCCTAGCCGTACAGTTTGGGATGTACTGCCCGCCCACAGCCCCCTCAGAAGGAGCGCTGTCTTGGCCAAAGTGGAGAGGACACCTCCACGTTCATACGTCACTATGTTTCCTCCAGAAACCGGGTTAATCTCCCAACCTAACCAGCAAACGTATTCTCTGTTGCATTCGGTTGCCACCACCGCCACCACCGGTCGGTCAACAGCCAGGACACCCCTTTCACGGCTTTCGCCAACCTGCCGTGTCATGAGCCAAAGGCGCCCCACCTGAGTACGCCCTCAGTGCTCAGGTACATACCATGGTATCTGCCGGAGATTTTACGCGTTCACACTATTCTCGTGGCCTCAGGTTCACCCTAACCTGCCACCTTCTCTTATCAACACCTTAACACCCAACTCTTTGGTGTTAACACTCAACCCGAGTCCGGCCCTGTCACCACACAGCTGGGCCTTCACGCCCACCGCTATTTTACACACTCTCACGGACTCTGACTAACTCGGACTAACTGCCCTCAAAATGCACCCTCTGCATCTGAGATATGTGTCTTAAGTGGGGGTTAATTATAAAAACTGATTGGTTTGTCGCCTTAAAGACCTGCACTAAAAATTCCGCTTACACGAGACTGAAATATCTCTAACAATATTAACAACGTTGCAAACATTAATTTACTTCGCTGTAATCTATTTGAAACATTATAACCACGTACATTCCCACGTTTGCCAACAGACTAAAAATGATCGCCCTGTTGATACTAAAAAACCCAGCCCCATTAAATTTTGGAGCAAAATTTTTCGAATAACTAACTAATCTGTTGAGGGCACCCATTTCCACTGATCCTTCCTCAAAGTAATCTTGCATTTTATACAACAGCCCAATAAATTTTCTGCTTTCTTTATGAATATCATGAATTGGTAGTACAATCGATAAAAAACTACACTAAAAACGATTTTTGTCATAAACCAAACGATTATTTTTGTCGCTTATTACCAACATCCAAATCCATAAACCGAAATTTCCTAAACGGCCAATTAAATCTGCCTTCCCTTTTCCAACCAAGACACGAAAATTGAAGTACAAAGTACTAACCATTTCCAGCCCAAAATGGAACATCATTAGTACAATCTGCCAGCCAAACATTTCGTTAAACACGTCAACTGTTTCACCCAAAATTCGATAATCTTGAGCTAATGCGCGCCATTTTTGAACAGTTTTGGTTTCTTGAAAGACTATCAAGACTCTGTGGTTGAGGTCCTGGTATCTACTTTTAAAACTCTGGACTAAAGCGTTAATAACAGTAATTAGTAGAAACTCGTAGTAACATTCAAACGCGCAGGTGGCAACAATGACTTTTAGAATTGACAAATGCATAAGGTTAGCCCAGACATATTGACCAACACATATACCAGCAAAAAACACCAGTTGCTTTAGGAAAAAAATTAGATAGAAGTTTCTCAAAACGTATGTCTCGTCTTTGCCAAGATTCTTTAAGCTTTTGTCGATGCAACCCAACTTTGTGAATATCACTTTCCACTTTCCCACATCCAGAAAACAGGATCTGAAGATGGCTAGGCACGTTATCAATGTCAGAATTACGTTTGCACAAGACCAAGTAAAGTTTTCACTTATTGATAAATTTGTAATGTATCCGACATTTTTTAGACCTATTTTCATGTAAATCAATCGAAGAAGAGCACCTGACATTAAGATCATCCCGTACGCTTTTTGGAGCTTTGGTTTGTACGAAGATTGTCTGTCAAAGTCGTACCATGGAGTTACTAATGGAAGATTTAAAAATAAGAACAAATACTTAATGAAATTTATATCTTTAATAGACCGTCTAAAGTTCATGTTTGTCAAGAACCACGTCGTGCTTTCAACTAAATTTCACAATGTCGGACATTGTCAAACACAATAACAATCAAACAAATTGGTTCGAACCAAACAACTACGTTATTAAACTTATTACACACATAAATAAACACAATTGTACAACAATACGCTAATTAACAATTTTCACACAAAAGTTCTCATACTTTGGACATTTTTGAATATTCGCTTTCGTTCAACTGTATCGTTATAATAAAATACGTAGCTACATTTCCAACAATAGTGAAAATAAGTGTCTTATTAATACTAAAAAAACCTGCGGCGCTAAAATCTGGAACGTATTGCTGGGTAATAGTTGCCCATTTCAACAAACTTTTCGACTCACAACTCCCTTCTGAAACCTCTTCCTGCAACTTACCAAACAAATCCACAAATCGTCTGCCTTCTTGCATCGTCGAATGTATCGGAATTATAATTATCAACAAATTGTGCTGAAAACAAATATCGTCGTTGTCATCGTGGCTAAAGTCAACTTACCATCATAACTATGAAGACGCATGCACTACCCAATAGAATATAGCCATAGTAGCTTTGGACATCAGATATTACGAATGAAATAAATATGGAATTTAACCCATTAACGACTTCAATTCCGAAATGAAACATTATCAAAATAATTTGATAACCGAACAAACTATTGAAAATGTGGA